GCCTCTTTGGGTCAGGCCAAGCCTATCTGAAGTGCCTTTGGGGAGTTACTCATAAGCCTGGCCAAACTCATTTTCTACCTTAAGTTATTGCACACACCGGGAAGTTTTAATATATATATCTTAATATTTATATGGGAAGTTTTGATATGTATATATGTGTGTGTGTGTGTTTTCTTTTGAAATTTTATAGTATAATTATTATAACGCTATTACTAAGTTCTTAACTAATAAAGTATATTATTTATACATACATCTATAGTGATTACAAATATAACATAACGATAAATTTATATCTAATTCTATTTTAAGGTGTAGCTTTTAAATCCCCATTATTTAATTAGTTATAAGACGCAAAGCTTTTATCAATTGGAATTGGATCAGTACGCGGCGTAAAAAGTACCAACTAATCTAACTTTATATCAAACTATTGTATTACCTATTATAATTTTTTTATCCCTGTGCATAAGGTTCCTTAATAGCTAGCTTTGTTTTTTATAGTTTAGAATGAGTATGAATCCCACCTTCAAATATTTCTCATGGATCGTCAACAACCTAGCTAGCTATACGTAGATGAGGCCATAATGCAACTTTCTATACGTAGTAAATTAGGTCTCATTCAGTTCGCGAATTCGAGTTTTTAATTTAAGTTGAGATGTGACTTTATGTGAGAGTTTTTAACTCTAACAAAAAAAATTAAATGTGACTTTTGTAAGAACTTTTAACTATAACAAAAGTATAATTTAAAACTTAAATCAGTGAAAGTCTCACAATTACCTTCTCGGTGGATCTTACCACCGGGGCCAAGAACTTAAAAGATCTTGTCCCACTTTTAGTGGACGTGACTAATTTAAATTTAAAATTTAAATTTTATTATAATAAAAATTTTCATAAATAATCACATTTAATTTTTTTACTACAGTAAAAAGTTCTTACATAAAATTATATCTCAACTCGAATTAAAAAATTAAATCAGCGAATTAAATAGACCCTTAAAAAGTCTGGTTTATAGATTCAGAATCACGATTCATTATTTTGATTTTTTAAATTTAAATTTTTTAAGAAAAAAAAAACATTTTAAAGAACTAAGAATCATAATACATAACTAAGAACGAACCCTTAAAATAAACATCTCATAAAGTTTGATCTTCCAGAATCCAACCGGCCTGTTGATTTTTTCTCTTTTTCCCTTACTTTTTTTTTTCTAGAGTATTTTTCCAATTTGTAGTTGCAGCAGTTTTACCTTTCTAACTGAAATTTCTCATTGCAAACCGCAGATATTTGTATTTCTCGTCAAATCTTCTCTCTGTGTATACTTTTTCTAGTTTTTAGTTCCCATTACGGGCAGACAAAGAGGGCTTATAAGCAAAAGGAAGAAAAAAAAAAGGTACATTGTGTGTATATTGTTAATTACAATGATGATGAATAAGAAATTTGATAAAAGCTCTCAGAAACAGTCACATTTAACTTTTTTGTCACAGTAAAAAACTCACATAAAGTCACATTTCAACTCGAATTAAAAAGTTAAATCAACAAACTAAACGAGCTCTAAATGTTGCGGCCGTTTAAAGTATTCCCTGCACAAATACACAAAATCTAGAAGTTAATAGACATTAATTTATCTATCATTCGTATTTTATGGCTCAAAAAAATAACTCAAGAAGGAAAACAACCACTCAGACCCAAAAAAAGCACCAGTTCATAGCTTGCAACTTGCAAGCACTTATATGATTATGTAGTGAATATGTCATGATTAGAGCGATGAGCACTGTTTGAAATTCTTGAAGAATTTTTATAATGCGCTTCTGAAAGAATTTTTATAATTTATTTAGGCAAAGTTAGATATGGGTTAGGCCGAAACTTAAGCCAGGCCTAAGCCCTTTTCACGGGCCTCTTTGGGTCAGGCCAAGCCTATCTGAAGTGCCTTTGGGGAGTTACTCATAAGCCTGGCCAAACTCATTTTCTACCTTAAGTTATTGCACACACCGGGAAGTTTTAATATATATATCTTAATATTTATATGGGAAGTTTTGATATGTATATATGTGTGTGTGTGTTTTCTTTTGAAATTTTATAGTATAATTATTATAACGCTATTACTAAGTTCTTAACTAATAAAGTATATTATTTATACATACATCTATAGTGATTACAAATATAACATAACGATAAATTTATATCTAATTCTATTTTAAGGTGTAGCTTTTAAATCCCCATTATTTAATTAGTTATAAGACGCAAAGCTTTTATCAATTGGAATTGGATCAGTACGCGACGTAAAAAGTACCAACTAATCTAACTTTATATCAAACTATTGTATTACCTATTATAATTTTTTTATCCCTGTGCATAAGGTTCCTTAATAGCTAGCTTTGTTTTTTATAGTTTAGAATGAGTATGAATCCCACCTTCAAATATTTCTCATGGATCGTCAACAACCTAGCTAGCTATACGTAGATGAGGCCATAATGCAACTTTCTATACGTAGTAAATTAGGTCTCATTCAGTTCGCGAATTCGAGTTTTCAATTTAAGTTGAGATGTGACTTTATGTGAGAGTTTTTAACTCTAATAAAAAAAATTAAATGTGACTTTTGTAAGAACTTTTAACTATAACAAAACTATAATTTAAAACTTAAATAAGTGAAAGTCTCACAATTACCTTCTCGGTGGATCTTACCACCGGGGCCAAGAACTTAAAAGATCTTGTCCCACTTTTAGTGGACGTGAATTAGTCTTAAAAGATTTTCTTAAAAGATCTATCCCTTTATAGATATAATTTTCATAATACATTATTTAACCCTCTCATAAGTCATACATCCACTTAACTTTTATCTTCATTTAATTTAGAAAATAATATTAATCTCTTTCAACTATTAATGTTTATTTTCTTTTTAAAAATATTGTAATTCCATTTATCTTTATTTATCAATTGTCTTTACCGTACCTCCTCTTCCTCCTTCTTCTTCTTCTTTTTTTTTATTTTTATTTTATGATGTCATCTTCCTCGTCGTGCTCCTCCTCCTCTTCTTCTTCTTCTTTTTTTCATTTTTTTTATAATCATAAATTAAGAATTAGTGGAGGTATTAATGAATTTTTAGGATCCAAATATTAAGAGAAAATTACAGATTCTGCATTCTTAATTACCTGACTTACTAAAAATACTCTTTTTAAAAAATTCTACCACTTAACTGGTTCTAGTATAAAAGGTAAAAATATATAGATTAATGTTAAAAGGTAGAAATAAAAAGATTTCGGGGGTATTTTTAAAAATTTTCCAAATATTAATTACTCTACGCAATTTTGTAAAGTCCTTTTAGGACCCAATTCAGTAGGACAATATTGACAAATACACATTAAAAGTGCATGAGTCAAATTTTTACTCTTTATTCTTGATTCATAACCTTTTTAGTCAAATAATTACACTAATAAAGAATATTTATTAAGAATAAAAAATAAATATCCATACTCATACATTTTTAAAGTAAATTATATATTTTTTCAATTCAGTAACTCACTACTATTAGACAAGCCCAAAAAGAAAAAAAAAATATATCTTGTGTTAATACGGACAAAATTCACTTCCATGCAAATCCGTGGTCCTGCTCAATTTGGAAGTCATCTTTTACTCCAATCTCATGCTTCAAGAGTCAATATCTCACAAGCCGACCAGCCTTTCCTTTCAAAGGCCAGAAAATTCAACCTCGTACGCGCTGAAGCCTGTAGATCCCCAGATATGGGAAAACAGCTAATTCATTGCCCACACTCTGAAAGCTGTGTATGAGGAACTCTTTTGCACTTTCTAGAATTGCAATAATTAGAAGATATTGAGTTTGGAATCATTTGTGTTTCCATTTGTTTACAATTGGCATGACAATTGCGAGGTATTGTTATCAAGTCTCATTGGCTCCAAATATATATTGAGAGTAATTCCTAACAATGTACAAGTACCACTGTAATTGTGAGAGTAATTCCTGAAAACGACATCGTCCTATTGAGAATTCGTTTGTTGAAGAGCCAAAACGAATAAGCCTATAAACTGAAGACACGTGGAGAAGTAAAGTCAGCAACTACTCCCACACAGAAGAAAACTCGAGAAGAAATGTATTATCCTCATTCTAGGAAGTTCTGCTCTGATGCTAACTGATGCAAGAATGTCGCAATTATTCTTCTTAAAAATTGCAAATTATAGAAGATGCACAATTAAATCATTGAAATGCTAATTTAAATTAGTATTGGACTCGTAAAATCTACCCAAACACTGTTCTTTTGGGTCTTAACTTCTAGGAGTCTTTTACAATTCATGAACACACCCAACAAACAGGCTCAAACACTACTTCGAAACCGAAGCCATGTACCTTCCCGAGTTCAAATATGCACCCACATCAAACTGTCACTTTTTTTTTTTTTTTTAGTTTTTCTAGTTCTTATAGTCCCTGACTGCTTATTTGATATGTTTCATTATCTCATTTTGGATTCACCTCAAAATGTTGTCACTCAAGTCCTTATTAGCCGAATCACCTGATCTCACTTCCATTCCTCCAGGTTCTACCTTCACCAACAACCACAATGACGCAGAACTTCTTTAAGACCACGGGTAGAAATTTCCACTACACATTTCTCTTTTGCTCACATCTCGTGATCCCAATCAACGTACGAAAGTCATCACTGAGCTCGGCAAAGCCTGTGAATATATAACCCCATAGTGTTCTTCAATCTTCTCCCAAGAAAAAGCTTAATGAATTCTTGCAAGGAAGAACTCAGTTCTTTTCTTACCTATGCTCAATGCTCTATTCTTAAACCCCTGCTTGTTCTAATCATTTACGCATTATGAGACTTTATATTCTTCAAACCTTTTTGTGCAACATGAAATCAGTAGTTAAAACTCGAAAATCTCAAGTTTTATTCAATAACCAGAACGTGAACAAGTAGGAAATACATGGAAACTCCAATATGCTTCTGCATGGACCAAGAACATTAAAAATAAAATAAAATAAAATAAAATAAAAACCAAATGAGAAGGGTTCCAATTTATTTCGACTACAAAATTAGACAATTGTTACTGATTAAAACAGTTTGACAGAAGATGATACACAGCCCTAACATCATCAGAACACAAGGAAGAACAATTAAATTAGCTTCCTCTAGAACTTACCCTAAATATAGAGAGAGATATTAAAGAAAATAGACAGTCATATAAGAATGGAAGTACTGCCACAAGGATACAGGACTAGGCCTTAGCTAGCTAGTTCTATTGGGTCTTGAAAAATTCCAAACAATGTTCTTCGTCCAAGTTCATGCTCCAGAACTTCTTGTAATACTCTGCATAAGTATATCCCCTGTAAACGGCCCCAGACCCGTCTTCGCCGGTAAGCGCTTTCGGCGGGCTTATCAGCGCATCGTCAAACGGGCAGAGGAATGAAGCCACTGATAGCCTTGGCTTGTCAGCATTCACAATGGCCCGGTGCCACACACTCTTGTAAATCCCATTACTCAGTGCCTGCAATCATACAAATTGTCATAAATCCCAACATTTGCTCTGCATTTCTTATTGGTTTACAATTAGCCCTTTTGCTAAATAGTGATGTGTGCATCACATCATATATCAAGATTGGCGTAGTTTCTTGTTGTTCTAAATTAATCTAATTTCAGTACAGGGTTATTCATTCTGTGTTTGTACCCAAGTGATACTTTCCACTGTGTCCACTATCCCTTGACTCTGATAAACTTGGTTATTTGCATTAGAAGTATGCTAAATAACACAAGAACTAATTATTCCTCATTGAATAGCTAATGTTTTTAGCATATTTCGGTGATTTAATACCGAGATTAATGTTCTTTCACGCATGACAAGAACTAATTATTCCTTTTTTTTTTTTTTTAAGAAAACTTTACCTGTAATTGGTCGCCAATATTAATCACAAAAGCATTAGGATGGGGTTTGACAGCAACCCATTTGCCATCCTTACGGACCTGAAGGCCAGAAACTTGGAGGTCTTGGAGCAGGATGGTGAGGGCATTGGGATCCGTGTGCCCCGGCAATCCGTAGGTCAGCTCCGGTTCCGGACATGGCGGGTAATAGTTCACCGCCATGTGTTGCCCTTGTTCACCCAACACACTTGTAATGTAGTCTTTCTCCAGCCCCAAGCTCTCTGCTATTAGTTCCTGTAACCTGAACCCAAGTTCTCGAACATCCGTACAATAGCTCTTTACAATTTCCCTATCAATTCCACACAAATTTGCATTAGAATAACGTGTTTTGTCATTGCATAATCTGCATTTTGTGTTTGGTGCTTAAACTGTAATTGTTTTCAAAAACAATATTAGTTATCACCCATGACGATCATCACCATTTTATTTTTTTAAACCAGTTAGAGATTGATGTGTAGCATAACGCGGGATTTGTGTGATAATCAGCGGGTTCCATAATTAGTATAGGAATTTTGTATTGGTTAAAAAGATGTGATAACGTTCACTAATACTGTAATACATAGAGCAATAATAAAATTACATAGAGCAATAATAAAAACTGAATCCCACACACAGATGCGACTCACATTCTATTAATAGTGGTGCTTAGCATCGATGACGCCCTTTTAACATTTTTCGCAATACATAACATTGCTTGGAATGTATAGAACACAAGTTGATGTATTGTTGGTAGAAACACAAGGTGATGTATGCACCTTAGTAGTCAGCATAATACCTAATATATACATATATATATATATATATGTCTCTATATATAATAATACCCTAGAGCAGGCCCAGTTGAAGATCCTCAAGATTCAGACAACTCAATTAGGTAATTCTGTTTAGACCAATGGTGTCAAAACTCATGAATCATCTGGTTTCTGTCGTTTTTATCCAGTATGCTGTTCTAATCTAAATCATATTAAACAAAGACTCTAAATTTCAAGCCCTCCTTTTCTATTCGAACCACTTTTTTTATTCAAAAGAAACAACATAGACGCCTAATTAGTTTATTAAGATGGGCCGTGTATCCAGGTTTGATGCAATATGAGCTGGCTGAACTACCATATCTAATCTAAAATACCTATGAAAATCGACGTCCACATATTTTATATATACATACATATACATATACATATATATATATACACACACACATTTATATGTGCATATAACTCGCCCATGCCCGATTCAAATAAATATGTTTTTGCTTTACAAAAATTTATTAGGAATGCCAGAGTCAGCAAAGCATTAACGTCTTAGAAGCATAATTTAATATTCTAGAAAATACAAAGGGTAATGTAACAATAGTAAAACAAAGTAGAAGAAGACAAAAGTCCCTCTAGGACGCCTCATGAACAAATGTATACGTATCTTATGTCATCATAGAATATTATAAATTTAAACAGTACGTGAATTTTTATGTGATTTTGCTAAAATATTATAAAAACTTTGAAATCTAAAATATATTGTATAACTTAAAAACTATACTCCATCCAAAATTCTTTAAATATTTGTTAATTAAAAGCAAAAGCAGGCAAACGTAGAAAGAGAAGAATGACTATAGCCTGTGTTGTTTCGTAAACTACTGGACAAATTGAAGTGTCTGCATGTATGTAGATATATAAATATGGGCCTTTAAACGTAATAAATTATGTTGGTTTGATTTTAATGATTACTTTAATAATAGATGAAACTGAATTCCTAATACGTCATGTTATTAAAGTTACATATTTAATGAGTAATAAGAATGAGAATATAACTATTAAAATCTCATCTTAACATAAATGGTGTGTTTGAAATTAATTTCAAAATAATTTTATTTTTAATAAAAAGTAAAAATGATATTGTTTTGAAAATTATTCAGGAATTGATTCTGAAATTGCGTTTGGTTAGTTTTTTAAGAAATTATTTTGAGTATAATAAAAAAGTGAAATCATGTTTATTAATTAATATATTATAATATTATTAATAAGTACTAAAAATGAAAATAGAAAAGTAAAAATAATTTTTAACTATTTTTTAATTTTTTCATAAAAATTATTCTCACTATTTTTATTTTTAAAATATTTACTAAATAAACATAGTTTTATTTTTATTTTTATATTTTACTTTTCAAAATATAAAACGGTTTCAAAACACGCACAAAATGTGGAAAGACTAAATTTTTTTATATTGTATATTTTTAACATCAATTTTACATTTAAAAAAAAAAAATATCACATTGCACTTCCCCTTTCTATGTGGTTTTGTGTGGAAAAAAGATATTAAAAAGAAGATTCCCGGTTCACCAATACCACATGATTAACGAAGCTGATGTCAACACGGATTAATCCCGTGACGTCAGCGCTTCACTAAAATGAAGAATCTTCTCCTTTTTTTTTTTTTCTCCCAACAAATCTGATGACGATGGATGCTGAAGCAAGCAGAACAGGCACGGAAAAATATTTAATTAATTCCACCAGGCTAATCAAATATTAAAAGTAATTACTTTTAATTTTTTAATAATACGACAACAACATCGTAGCCCACTTTTTGCCACGCGATTGTGACAAATCTCATATCCATTTTTGTCCCCTTCCTTTTGATTTATTGAATATTTCGCCCTCCCTTATTTTTTTTGTCAGCATCTATGCTCTCCCTTTTCTTCTTTTCTTTTGCTTCTGCTAGAAAGTTCTGCCCAAACGTAACGTCTCTTTCTCTGTTTCTTGGTTTCGGATAGTTCATGTGACTTTTGTTTTAAGAGTTCTATCTGATTTAAGATTATAATTTATAAATTTATAACAGTATTTTTTTCTCATAAAAAATTTAAATTTTAAAAATTAGAATCATGAACTATGATTCTTAACCCATAAACTAAACGCCACTTCAATAGTTTTTCTTTGTTCATCGGTTCTTCAAATGTGTCTTCTTTCCACGTTCCAATTATGATTCTTAACCCATAAACTAAACACCACCTCAATAATTTTTCTTTGTTCATCGGTTCTTCAAATGTGTCTTCTTTCCACGTTCCAATAGAATAAGTAAAAGAAAAAAAAAAGGGAAAAAAAAGGGGAAAGGAAAGGTAAAGGGCGTTTAGTTTTGAGCATGTTTGGTAAAGTTATTCAAATCCCGATTCAAATGTTTTCATTATAATATTTTTTTTCATAAAAATTTAAATTTTAATTCAACTATCTAATTTGAATTCATAAAGTAAACGGACTTTTAATGTATGTTTGGTTTGAATAGTATTTTATTTTCTAAAAAAATTTATTATAATATTTTCTCTAATAAAATTTAAATTTAAATTTAAACTCTCAAACTAAACAAACACTATTGTTTATTTGATATAAAGAATCAAGCTTGAAAATCGTATAATTTCTCTTTTTTGGAAAAGAGGGTAAGAATTTTATTTTTTTCTTTTTGGGTTGAAATAGCAATTTCTTCTAACATTCAGACATATTGTACGAATTATTGGCTATAGGAATAGGTGAAGTGTTGATACTAAAGGCACGTGGTAATATTATTTAACAGATTTTGTCCTTCACAATTTTACACGAAGAATCTTTGATAAATAGATAATTAAAGGGAAAAAATCAAAAATACCACTTAAAATAGTAAAATATATTGTTTATGTCGCAACACTTTAAAATCAATAATTCTCATTCAATTAAAGAGAAACTAAAGAATCATAACGACACTTGATTATTTAAAATGACATAAATAATAAGTGCATATAAAACCATAATAAATCAGTGTATTTTTCTCATAACATTAAAGACAGTAAGGCTGTGATAATAAACTAGCCAAGAGAGGCAATTACTTCTCGTATTTGAACAAAAAAAAAAAAAAAAAGGATTTCTAATTCTCGTCAAAATAAACTAACAAAGCTACCATGCAAGCAGAATTGATTTCCAAGCGAAATAATTGCGAAGAACTCAACATCTCCTAGTTTTCAACTTTGACGTACCAAAATTTAAAGGGTAATCTTGATAAATACTTTTTAAAAGTGTATTGATTAAGATTTTTATCATTTACTCTTGATTTATAATTTTTTTAGTCAAAAAATTACACTAATAAAAAAATATTTATTAAAAGTGAATGGTAAAAATTTAAAATCATGCACTCTCAAAAATAAATTCTCATTTTTTAACATTTAAGAAGCAAAAAGAAAAAAGAAAAGAAAATAATAAATTTTAAACTTTTTCAGAGTATAATATTATGAGTGTAAGGGAGAAGAAGAAAAGGTATTGCATGTGAATATCGTACGCATGAGACGAACCTGGGCATCTTCGGAGAATTAATGAAAGATTAGGGCTTGCATAACATGTGTGAGCACATGGGAGCTGACTCGGCATGACCATGTATTGCATTTTCTGTCTTGAAAATGGGGAAGGGATTCACTTTTTCTTTTTGAGCGGTGCAAGGAAAGGCAACGGCCCAACGGCTTATTTAATTTATGTTCAAATCAATTTTCACCCCCCCTTTTTTTTTCACGATATGTGTAATGATATAGTCAAGATGAAAGAAAGTGATTGAAGTCTAGCAAACGTATATAAATTGTGTGTATATATATATATATGACAAACAAGTTTATGCTTGATAGAAAGATATATGTGCGACATTATCTCACAGAGTACTCTGCCATTAAGAATCCTTCGACTTAACTTGGTCATACACAAAAATAATTTGCTTCCTTGTTTCCTTTGTGCTAGTATTCCTTTTTACTAACATAACATGCATATCTCAATTTTTTAATAATAGATATAAGAAAATCATAAAAATATCTTAAATAGTAAGGTAAGAATATAGTCAACCCAGTCGAGTCGTTTCAGTTAGATAGATTCTATTTACGGTTACAATCATATAAAATTCATAAAATCATCTGACGTGTCATATCACGCTAAATATTTTTAGGTACAGACAACCGTGTCATTTAACGTTTTTATTATATTAAATCTTATAAAATATTAATAAATACGTCACATGACATGACATGAAATCGTATGACACATTCACATGAATATCTACAATATACGTGTATATATATATTAAACATACCTATCCCTTAATAATGGGACAAAAAATTTGTCCTAAGCATTATGGTCAACATTCCCGGTTTTATCATGGAAGTAATGAAATCCTAACCATTTGACTCACAAGAAGAGGTAAAAAAAAATATATATATAATTACTTACTTGAATGAAGGAGGAATGGAGGGCCACTCAAGCACATACTTGTCGAGAGGATAACAATGGAGTCTTAGATAATCCCTCCAATTATGCACCGTCTCTTTTTTGACGTTGAAACTTGTGGAGAGTCTCATCGTCTTAGACGGGTCATCTGAGTAAAACTTCAACTTCTCCTCCAAGGTATATATATATATATAATTACTTACTTGAATGAAGGAGGAATGGAGGGCCACTCAAGCACATACTTGTCGAGAGGATAACAATGGAGTCTTAGATAATCCCTCCAATTATGCACCGTCTCTTTTTTGACGTTGAAACTTGTGGAGAGTCTCATCGTCTTAGACGGGTCATCTGAGTAAAACTTCAACTTCTCCTCCAAGGGAAGATTGAAAAACTCACTTGCCACTCCTAACATTTTCTCCGCTGCTTCATTAGATACCCCATGATTTATAACCTTTAAAAAAAAAAAAAAAAAAAAAAAAAAAAAAAAAAAAAAAAAAAAAAACATACATCTAGTATTAAACGGATAAGAATAGATACTACACTTGATCTTAACGAAACGGCCGAGAAAGGTACGCTTTGTTGATTATTCCGTGGACAAAGAAAACAAAACTTTGTTTTTTTTGTTTTTTGTTTTGGTACCTGAAAGAAGCCATAAAACTTGCAGGCATCACCAACTTGCTTGACAATTTGGGCTCTGTCATCAGAACCCAAGTCGATAACAGGGACATTTTCGCAATCAGAGACTTCAGAAAGTCGAGGTCGTTCAGATTCTGGTCTGATATAACTCTCCGGCAAATTTGAGAACCGGACTCCAGAAGACAAGACTTTGGTTTCCATTTATTACTTGTCTGTAAGATGTCAAAATGACAAATTTAACCAAAGGGTAAAGGAAAAAAAAAAAAAAAAAAAAAGGTTTGGTCAAGTCTGCAAAGTTTCAAGACACTGAGTAGCTACCAGGAAAGTGAGGCAGAAGCAAGTTGCATTCTAGAGATATTTATAATAAATAAGGCCTGCATGGGTGTGTACCCGAGGATAACATTTATGTAATATTCTTTAGAAAATTAGTATTAATTAATTTCGGGCTACTGGGATTTGAATTTAATAAAAATGTAAATATTAAAAAAAAAAATTAATTGAAAGCGATGAGGAAGAAACAGAGGCCAGAGGGGGGGCTGACCACTCTTTGATTTAGAAATGGAAAGTGAAAGGGAAAGAAGAGGAGAGAGAGAGAGAGAGAGAGAGAGAGAGAATAATTGAGGAACAAATGGTGGATCGTGAGAAAAGCTGATAGCCACTGGATTTTTCATCTTTTTTTCTTTTAAAGCAAAAGTTTTGAAAAGCACGTAGATTTTGCAGAACCCAGAAATAGTCAAAGAGCTGATCACAATTTTGTGATATCACAAAAAGCGCAGAAACGGAGTACCTTTTTTCTTTTTTTTTTCGCTTTTTGTTTTAAGCAGAAAGTCTTTTTTTTTTTTTTTTTTTTTTTCTCTTTTTTCAAAAAAATAGACATCTTCTGTCTTTCTTATATATATCTATAATCTATCTATCAATCCATACAACTAATTGTGAATCCATTTTTTTAGGCGAGACGTTTTTTTTCCTTCGTTTCTCTTTGTTTTTCTTCTTTTATCTTCCCAATTTTTTTTTCCCTTTCTCTATATTCTTTTTCTTTTTTGTCAATAGAATCTTCTCTGGTACACTAACATACTCGTAAGTCATATTTTTTATCCGTCGATTTGTATAAAATTGCGTAAAAATTAAAAGATATTGTATATCTAACGGTTAAAAAACTTGATATATCAGTACACTAGGTGTACCAAAAAATCTCGTTTTGTTAATTATCATCTCATTTTTTTATTTCTACACTTTATTTTTATTTGCATATCAGTACACTAGGTGTACCAAAAAATCTCATTTTGTTAATTATCATCTCATTTTTTTATTTCTACACTTTATTTTTATTTCTTCTTACTTTTTTATTTTTATTTTTTTCTTCTTCCTCAAATATCTTATGTTTGTTTATTTTTTTTCTTTTCTTTTTTCTTTTTCCAATAATTTGTATACCATTATTTTAAAAAGTGTCATGTTCGCGCACATACTTACTAGTATGTTACAACATGTATCATTCTGTAAAGAAAACAAATAAGCCCTCCTCAATCCCCTCATCATGCCATTATAACAGATATCAGTTTTTTTTTTCTTTAAATACTTATTTTTGGATTAAAAAAGGTACTTATTTTTAGATCCTAACTAAGCGGAAAGGAAGAGAGAGGGGAAAAGAAGAGAAAAAGGGCAGCCTAGTCATCAAGCTTTCATAATTGAGTTTTTTTGGCACATTTTTCCCATGAAGAATTGTTTGATTAAAATTATGTGGTTCACCCTTTTTTAAGCTGATTTTTTTTTTTTTTTCAATTTGGAAAATCTATATTCTATTTTCATATGTTAAACATGGACATTTATTCACAAAAGAACAGACCCGTGATGTATTTTGCTTTTATCTTTTACATATTTTCACTGTGTCGGCGTTTTTAACACGATTGAGTTAGAGAAGTCTTTGTTTAATTATTTGTGGACCTCGGGAAACTTTTTCTTGTGGGATCACACAAGTATAAGAAAATTAAATTAGTTTAAAAAATGGCTTAAATGTTGTTGCGTACGAATTATTGGCAATCATGTGAATAATAATAAACATGTCTAGAAATGATCCATTCCACGCCTTGACAAGTATTATGGGTTCTTTTTCACGCCTCGTCGCCTATTAACTTATATTTGATGGATTCTCCTTTCATGAAATAATGTTAAACTCACCCACCATAGATTTTACATCAATTTTTTATTTGGAAAAAGAAGGAAATATTTCAAAAAAAAAAATATACCTGTATTTTGTTTCAATTTGATGTTTAGTCCTTATATTTTGAAACATTTACTTTCTACTCCGGAAAAAAGTCAAAAAAAATAAATAAATAAATAAATAAAATCCCTCAAGTCAACTATCTCAAGTGAAAGAGTTGACAAATATGAGAAGAACTCATCAATTATCAAGGTAATACAAGCATTACTTGTTTTTTTTTTTTTTTTTTTTTTACTTTCTTCACGCAAACTTCTCATATTTGTCGGATTTATATTTCATTTTTAATGTTGATGTTGTCTAACCAATCGTATTTGACAACGACAAGGGACTCAGATACCAAAATATCCCATTTAGCTCGCTGATTCAATTTTTTAATTCGAGTTGAGCTGTGACTTTATATGAGAACTTTTTACTGTAGCAAAAAAGTTAGATGTGATTATTTCTGAGAGCTTTTTACTGTAACAAAACTCAAATTCTAAACTCAAATCGGTGAAATGAACGGGGCGTAAACTTCTTAAATGACATGGTATAATATGATTGGTTCGACATCATTATTTGACATACTAAAATTGGATTGTCCTTCTAAATTTGATTCAAGAGAAGTTTTCTTTCTTTTTTTTTATTTAATCAAGAAAAGTTTTGCTATCTTACAAATTATGTTTTAAATTTTTAGAAACACATAACTAAGAAGTCGAATTGAAATTATCGCAAAGTTTTCGCTAGAAAATAAGGATACATAATAGTGGCTGCTAACATTAAATCGTGCGTGGATATTATGACAAAGATAACAGACTTTTTAGAGTTGAATTTTTCCATTGTTTACTTCACGACTTGTGTGTTATTTATATGTGGACAACAAATTTCGAGAAGGAAAATAAAAAATACAGCAAATTACAGAACGTGTTAAATATAAATTATTTGAAATTCACAATAGCTTTGACATTATCTTAATTGGTTAGGATTTAGAAACTTTTTTTTTTTTTTTTTATTTCTTAGTTTGGATGGGACAAATGGAATGATCTATATAGAACCTAAGCCATATAATTATGCAAGTATCTATTTATCTTTTTTGTTTTTAAGAATATCAAGTACGTGGTGTGTTCGTCCATCTCTTTCTAATTAGTGTGCTGTAGAATGCAGATGCAGAGTACTAGATAATATCTATCATATATATGGATGAAAACATAAAAACACATACTTTGTGGCATGTCCCAAATTGACCCTCAAACTTTAGAGCTTTGTAATTTAGCCTTTTTAACTTTAGTCAACGTTCTAATTAAACCTAAGAGAGTTCCCAAAGAAAATTAAATCCAAAAGTACGACTGCATTAGTTAATTGACAAACAGGTTGATTATGCCTTATAAGTAGGCTTTTTTTTTTTTTTTTTTGAGGGGCCCTTATAAGTAGTCTTCTTGATTCACTTTGTTAGTTTGATTGAAAAACATATTGCTTAGTAATAATGAGGGTTATATTTACTATCAGTGCTCAAGAGTGTGATTTGTGTCTAACTTGGCCTCCAACATTAATTTTCAGAAGTTTATTAACTAAATGCATGACAGTTTTAATATACATAGATTTGTTTTTTTTTTCTTTTCAAAATAATATTTTATATCTACCTAATTTTAAAATAATATTATTACTCTTAACAAGCAATTATCGGGCAATGTTTTCTCTAAAAATGAATATTTTGTTACCATGGTAGCTAGATAATATTATTACTCTTAACAAGCAATTCTCGGGCAATGTTTTCTCTAAAAATGAATATTTTGTTACCATGGTAGCTAGACGTTTAAAAGTAAATATTAAAAATCAAAGGGACAAGCATATATCCTTGAATGCCATTGGTGAAAATAAACCTTATAATAAGTGTTAGGTCCGTTTTTCGGTCGGTGTCACAAGTGGTGTTACAACACTGGTTGTGACACTGATGACAGTATAAGTGTAGACATAGTTGTTTTTCTTTTAATTCAGTTCCAGTGATTGTGAGTGCAATAAAATAACAGAAAGCATAAAGAACACACGAAAATGGTATCGCAGTTCAGTGCGCACACCTACTATGTGGGGTCACGCCCAGACAGTGAACATGCATCTACTAAGATAAAGAGATTACAAACACCAATCGGTCTTACACACTCAAAGACTCCCTCCTTGATGTTGTCGCCGCTGTGGAGAATCCTCTTAGTGGCCTTGTCCAGCGAGCACCACTCGTCTTTGAAAACTTTCTCCTGAAAGTAATACGTTATTCTCCCGAAGAACCACCTTTTGTTTTTTTCACTCAACGAGCATCAGAGCAGCCTTTTGCTGCAGAATATTTCCTTCAAAACCTCTCACATGAACTCAAAATATCTCTCATGTTTTCAGCCATGTGTCTCTGTTTTTCAAAAGCCAAAACCTCACATACGTTCAGCCCCTTTTTCCACAATTCCCTTCCGCACCAACTAAGTTTTTGCCATACAACCAAATTCAAAAAACTCACCAAGCTAGAAGATTTTTCCAGCCATTCGTCCCCTAAAGTCAACTCTTCAATCTCTGCAATCAAATCAAAACTTTTACTGTGCCACCAGACTTTCTTTATAGGACTCATCGATTTGCCGTGCCAGCCAAGCTTACAATCAAATTGCAACCAATCTGTCAAAAATAGTTTTCAACTAATTTACCAAAAATAAGCCAATCACAAATTACACTAACAATAAGTAATGAGTCACGCTATTAGATCACTTTAGCATGGCGTTCCAAAACTTCAACCAGGTTCATGAAAAATATTAACCGTCTCTTATGGTTGCAACCCTTTAAACGTAGAAAAGGGATATTTATCATCACCGGTGAGCTAGGAAATCACTACATATGTAATAATATATTAAAATTGTTACATAACATAGTGACACTAGCTCGGTTCTTTTTACTATTTGTTGTACGTGGCAGTTCTATTTTAACGATGTCAGGATTGCGATGCTACCTCACAATTGTTGATAAATAGCAGTGCTCTTATATGTTATATATATATATATATATATATATATCTTTTACTTGGTCAAATATTTGACAAGGTCCAAGCATATATGTACATAGGATAGGACATAGCATTGTGAGTTGTTCCCTCCGTCCCGTTCAACCACGCACGTTATGTGTCTTCCACTCATCTACATTTGCCTCATCCGTGAATAAAACGCAGCAGTACCATTCGCTGTCGCTTTGTCGTTGGAAATCAATTTCAATCCCCATTACCAGATATGAAATGAATACTCCATCACGAACGTGTAATTTGGTTCACAAACTTTTAGCACTTTGATTGTAATTTGGTTCACAAACTCTTGATATGAGAAACTTTTTCCACAAAAAAAAAAGAACAAAAGTAGCTATAGAGAGTACTAGGACTGCTTTCACGGCCTTACATCCTTTGCTTAGCTCTACATACCTAATTGGCTGTCCTTCTTTGTCAATGATTGCCA